TCGAGATGCCGAATACCTCCAAGCCCAAAGCCAACCTCTGGTTAAAGGACACGTCGGGCAAGGAGATGATGGTGAACATCTGGGGCGACCGCTTCGTAAAGAGTCTGGCTAACGCGCACAAAGGTAGCGTCGTTCAGATCGACAACCTTTCCCTGCTGAAGAAGGAGAACGATTCCATCGAAGGCGCCGCGGAACATTTCATCGACAACGACAAGCACGGCTTTAGTATGCTGCACGTGGACCCCATAGGCGATCGGGCACGGGAGCTTCGGGATCTGGAACCCACGCAAGGCGATCGCATCTCTGTTCCTTGGTGCCCTTCCTTGAGTGGTGGCGGCAAGCTGACCACTGACTTCGGGCCCTGCTACGTCGCATGCGCCGCAACTATGAATGCATTCGGCAGCGCAATGGAGCAGGGATCAACGCAGGACTGCCTTCGCGTGTTTCTGTTGTGTAGAAGCTGCTTTCCCGTGCCCCACCTTGCATGACTTTGCTTGGCGCAGGAGAAAGTCGAAGTGGCCCTGCACAACGTCTGGCTCGTCGACATCGTTGGGGATCCAGTCTATACTCCGTGCAAAGTGTGCTCGACGAAGATCGACCCAACTTCCGGTAAGTGCAAGCGTGCCACCGATGGATGTCAGACGGAGCCTGCGGATGCCCAGCGAGTGCTGGCCACCGTGCACTTGGCGGACTGGACGGGGCAGCTCAGCAACGTGCTTGTGGGAGGACCGGAGCTGGCGGCGCTGGCCCGGGTCCGTGACGAAGAGAAGCTGGTTGAGTTGATCCAGTTGAAAGGCAGTGAGGCAGTCTGCTTCAGGGGGCCGTGCGACGCACGGCTGGGCACGTCGCACCGCCTCGGCCAACCGCGGGGGGGCTCCGCGCAGCAAGCTTCGCAGGCGAGTGTGACCGGCGGACTTGCTGCCCCGACCCAGTTTCAAGTCTTGGCAGCTCGCGCCTGCTTCGGGGAGGAGTACGACGAGGACCGGCGTCAGATGGTGAAAAAGGTCACCCGTCTTGCGACCGAGAAGCGAGATGGTGCTGTGCTGCCAGTCCAGTGTCCGATTGCCGATTTGATGTGCTCAGACATGGGCACCTTCTTCAAGTTAGGCGGTGTCTTCGCAAACTACGTGACCGTTGTGGCCTTTGCCGAGGACGAGCCCACCGTGGAGGAGGTGTTCAAGGACGAGGAGAAGCACCTGTTGACGAAGCACAAGGAGGTGTACTCGCACACGCTCGAGCGTGTAGGAGACAGAAAGGCATTCGGGATCGAGGCTTTTTGTCAATTCACAAATTGCTTCCTCTTCAACATGGCAGACGGCCTTCCGCGCTTGATCTTGGGCCGTGTGATCAAGAATGCTGCAACCCAGGAGGTGGTTTTGCAGGTGGAATGGATGTCGAAAGTGACACCTGAGCAGATCAAGACATTCTCGAGGGAGCGTGAGATGGTCTGGAACCTCCTCAAGGGCGGACCGGCGTTGCAAAGCAACAAACGACCTGCCAGCAGCCTCGTGCAGGAGACGCCATCGAAAGTGAAGTGCAGCGCTTGGGAAATGAACTGAACCTCCTGGAAGCGAGGGTAGAGTCTTGCGAAGGTCCCCGCGCGGAGCAGTCGACGCTGTCTTGCGAAAGCTGCTTTCCGTCAGTGGGCTGCGTTGACTCAAACTCCTCGAAGCGAGGGTGGAGTTTTGCAAGGGTCCGCGTGCGGAGCAGTCGACGCTGTCTTGCGAAAGCTGCATTTCGCCAGTGGGCTGCATTGACTGAACCTCCTCGAAGCGAGGGTGCAGTTTTGCGACGGTCCCCGCGCGGAGCAGTCGACGCTGTCTTGCGAAAGCTGCATCCGCCAGTGGGCTGTATCTAGCCTCTGCACGTAGCAGTGATGTTCTAAAGCCGCTGATTGAGTCTTAGATGCGCGATTCTCTCGGCCTTGACACGACAAAAATGCTGTTTGTTCCATGGCGTCTTGTCAGGTAGGAGCGAGCTCAGGCAGCTTCATTGATAGCGAAGGCGAATCTTGGCTGCTCCTGCTCGCATGCTACATTCTTCCACGCAGCTGCTGAGTTAGATTCCGTTCTTCGTGTCTGTTTGGCGCCATGGATCCCCATCCTGGAGATGCAACTACATCCACGGTGGAAGGTCCGGACCAAGCGCAACAGGATTCTCGCGAGGATGGAGTTGGATCGGACACCAGCGCGAATGCAAACGTGTACCCCACTCCAGTGAATTATGAGGTCCTTGTGCATACATTTCAAGGTCAGCTGAACAACATGCTGCTGGATCAAGCGCGAATGAACGTGCAGTTAGCTGAGCTGATGCGTACCATGCAAGATTGGTCTCGGGAACACGAAAGGATCGTGCAGCTGCTGCGCAGGATCCAAGAAATTATGGACCCGGAGTTCGCGCCGGGAATGCCGTTGCACGGCTTCCGTGCGCCTTGAGGTCCCTTTGTTTCTGCAGGTCACTGACCTGTTCGAAGCAACGATAGTATTGTTTTGCAAAAAGTCCCCACGCGGAGCAGTCGACGCTGTCTTGCGAAAGCTGCATTTCGCGAGTGGATTGCGTGTCTGGCCTCCGCTGTCGGTTTCCAACCGACAGCGGAGGGGCTCTTCCGGGGCTCTTCCGGCATCCTAGGCAGCCTTGCAACGGAATGTAAAGCTGGGCGTGTCCTGCGACGCACATTCGAATCGAAACCGACCTTGACATTCCTGCTTCAGCTGCACAACCGGCTCAAGCTCGGCGCGATGATAGCAGTTTAGATGTCGGCTCCCGTGGCCATCACTGTGGCGCTGCTATGGACCTCGGGTGCTGATAGTTTGGAGTTGCAAGGCCTGCCTGGAAATGTGAATCGTCTCATTGGTGAGTATCTGGATGCGAGGATGTCCTTAGGATACCCCGAGTACCTTTTCCCACCCAACGAGCCGGACTTCGACTTCCCGCAGATTCAAGTGAACACGGATGTGCTTTATGTAGTGTACTGGCTCCTTTGGCCTGTCTTGCGAGACCTGGAAAACAGGAGACAAGGTGACTGGAGACAAGGTGTAGTTTTTGTCTTGTGAGAAGGATATGCCGACCCTCTCAATCCTTGTGCTGCAGGTCACGGACCTGCAGCAAGCGAGGGTACGGTTTTGCAAACGTCTCACACGGAGCAGTCGACGCTGTCTTGCGAAAGCTGCCTTCCGCCAGCGGGCTGTGTGTCTAGCTCGCGGCCAAAGCTGCTGTCGCGCGAGACCCAATCACCTGGACCATTACTGTAGCACATGCATCATCCAGTGGTAAAATCACCGAGATTATCAAGGTAATCACGGAAACGTCTGAGGACGAGATCGTGGAAATGATCAGCCTGGAGAATGGCAGGAAGTGAGGGATCGCGTGGAGCGAATTGTCGTGACCGGAGTGTTCTCTCTGCTTGCTTGTATTGACAGCTTTGGCCCGAGAGACCTAGTTCCTTCGAGCCTGCTTGCTACTTTGCACATATGGATGCCCTGGCCGCTTCTTCGTCTTCTGCTTCTTCTGCTTCGTCGGCGATGTCAGATGCGGAAGAAACATTTATTCGAACTTGGCAGCTCGAAATTGCAAACAAATACGAGCATGGACCTTGGTCGGACATGGACTACATTGTTTGGGGCGAGTCCTACAACTTCGGGGACATCTCGGAGTGGCCTCTCGACGCTGTGGTGGTGAGCTCCGAGCCCGGCGAGAAGTGTCTGCTCGGCAGCTTGCGCTCGGCTGCGGACCTCCACAATGTGGAGTTGCACACGAAAGTTCCTGTTACAGTTGTTGTCAGCATTTGTTGGAAAACAGAGATGCAAGTGAAAGGAACTCCGAGAGATTGGAACAAGCACTTCCTCGATTGCGGTGTGCGTCACTTGCAAGTCGAGCTGGACGACCACCAGGTCAGGTACAGCCAGCATCCGGACTGGTTCTTGGAATGCACGCAGAACTGCACCCAAACTTGGAAAGGCATGGCTGATGCTCTGTCGAGTGCACGCACAGCCTGCAGAAAGGAGGGCAAGGACTTCAACGTGCTCTTCCACTGCTTCGGCGGCATCAATCGCAGCCCTGCGGCCCTTTGCGCGTGGTTGATGCAGGACACAAGGTGCAGCGCGGCGGAAGCTGTGGGGCGCATTTTAGCGGCTCGACCAGCTCTACCCAATAGACCCGGTTAGACAGATTCCTGCCGAACCGGTAACTTGTTAGATTTCGGGAAATTCCTGTCGAATCGTTAAAACAACAAGTTGCCGAATTCGGCAAACCTGGGTTGTCGAATCGACAAGTCGTTAACCGAAAGTAGTTCCCGAATCCGGCAAAATTTGCCGAATACGACAAAACTGCGTCCGATCCCTCGACACGCGACCAGAGGAAGTTTCGAGGAAGTTTCGCCCAAACTTCGCCCGAAGTTTGGTGGAAGTTTGGGGCGGCTACAAAGGGTTTGAGAGGAAGTTTGGTGGAAGTTTGAAGGCCTGAACCGAGGAAGTTTGGTGGAAGTTTGAAGGGAAGTTTGGTGGAAGTTTCGTGTGGCGATTTGGAGCACGAAAAGCTAGGAAATCTTGCACACAAGACAGAGATTCAAGGGCGAAGTTCTTTCTTTCTGCTTATAGATATAATATAGATGCAGCGAATTTCTACAGGCAATTCTTCAGATCTTCCCTCGTTGATATACAAGCAATTCTTCAGATCTTTCTGGTATAGTAGAAACAATAGAGGGCAGATTGATAAGCAATGCTTCAGATCTTTCCTGGTATATAAAGGCAATTCTTCAGATCTTTCTGGTAAAGGCAATTCTTCAGGTCTTTCTGGTAAGCAGTAGAAATGATATACAGAGCAAATATTTAGGCAATGCTTCAGATCTTCCCTGGTTTATACAAGCAACTCTTCAGATCTTTCTGGTGTTCATAGAGATGTGAGGTTCCTCAAACCTTTTTGGTAAACCGTATCAAAACATTATACAGAGCAGATATACATACAGGCAATGCTTCAGATCTTTGTTTTCAGGGACTTCTTGAGATGTGTCTGGTACAGAGCTATTATAACAGACCTGTGTGTATATATATATGTATATATATACACAGTGTATATGTGTGTGTATATGTATATACGGTATATTCTTTTTGGTAGATTTAGTCAAACACTAAACCCTAAACCCTGACAAACACAACGAGAGAGAGAGAGAGAGAGAGAGAGAGAGAGAGAGAGAGAGAGAGAGAGAGAGAGACAGAGAGATAGAGAGATACAGAGAGATACAGAGATGAAGCCCGCACTGTCTCTCGTGGTAGGGTTCCTCCCTTTCCTGTCTCCCGTCGTCGCACACGAGGAGAATAGTCCTGGCCGGGCAAGCATTTATGCATAGAAAACGTTGGCTTTGCACATGTGAAACACAACAACCGTCCTATACACCCTGTTTTTTCACAGCTCATGCTTTCGGAAACGGAGGTGGAGTGCGATTCGGTATCGCTGGCACATCTTCACCTCGGCCTGCCCTGGCTTTTGCCCTCTGGCGCAAGCTGCAGTTATTCTTTGAACCCGTCGCTGAAAGTCCTCGCCAGAGAAACACCATAGAAGACGTGGGTTTATGCTCCGAGACTCCAGTGCAATGTGCTGCAAGAAGTGACACTTCTCCGTCGTGGAGAAGAGGGGTGGATCATGGTTGCTGTTGCTGAAGTGTTGGGACAGCTGCTCTTGCAGAAGTAAAAATCCATTCATTGAGTCCCTGAAAGCGGCGGCATCTGCTGCTGACAAGGTGAACTGGAACTTGTTCTCCGCCAAAATCTCCTCCAGCTTGTTGTTCAATTTCAAGAGCAAATGGACTTTCCGGTGAAGCTCGACGGAGTGATTCATTGTGCTCGCCCATATCAAGAATAGCGGCTTCGCCAAAGATCGAACCTCGGCCGCCTTGCCTCGAAGGCCCAAAGCACGGACCTTGGCCCTGAAAAACATTGAGACCTTGTTCAGGTAAAGAAACCGCGATTCCGTACCAAAGGTTCGGTAGTGGATCTGGATTTGCGACCAAACCCAGTCCATGTTCGCCTCTGGGCTGCCGAGATTGAGCACATAAAAAACCAAAAGGAAAAGGACGGAGGAGTACAGCTTTCTGTCCTGCCCCAAATACTTGCAATGCATGTAGTCAAACCCCAAATTGCAGATGCTGGTGGAACTCATATGAAAGAGTGGGCAGGTGGACTTTTCCGCAGCTGGCAGCCCCCGCCAGGAACTGGGACTGTACACCGTGGCTTTCCACGGTGCATTAGGGTGGTAGTTTTGCCAGCTCAAGTGTCCGTATTTCGTCGCCTGGCACCTACAGCACGGTGACGATGCCGATGTCGACCGTGGCAGGTCCAATACACTCGCATAGTAATCGAGGTCACCAACCACGGAAAATAAAGTGCCGCAGAATCCGCCAGCGATCTGTTTGCCGGCTTTTCGCCCTTGGGGGGAGTCCTCGGGGTACCTGTGTGGAGAAAAACTTGAAAGCACCTTCTACCATGGTTCACACAGTTTCAAGTATATAGTGTTATAGTTCTTCAAACTTGATTTATAACAACAGTTTCCGCATGACATACATAAG